CAAATCGGTCCATATTTAGATATAGCTCCCATATATATTTTCGTCCGATTTTATGTAAATGGTGCACCAAAGTCCCTAAATATCTGTCGATTTGCACGAAATTTGGCATAACGTACTGAACTGAGCTTAGAGTGATGTCTGCCAAGTTTCGTGAAAATCGGTCCAAATTTAGATATAGCTCCCATATATATTTTCGTCCGATTTTATGTAAATGGTGCACCAAAGTCCCTAAATATCTTTCGATTTGCACGAAAATTGGCAAAACGTACTGAATTGAGCCTAGAGTGATGTCTGCCAAGTTTCGTGAAAATCGGTCCAGATTTAGATATAGCTCCCATGTATAGTTTCGTCCGATTTTATGTAAATGGTGCACCAAAGTCCCTATATATCTTTCGATTTGCACAAAATGTGGCATAACATACTGAATTGAGGCTAGAGTGATGTCTGCCAAGTTTCGTGAAAATCGGTCCAGATTTAGATATAGGTCCCATATATAGTTTCGTCCGATTTTCACATTTCGATAAATATCACATATTTTAGTTCATCCAATTTCATGTTAATTGTTCTGTTTAATATACCCATAGTGGTGAAGGGTATAATATAGTCGGCCCCGTCCGACTTTACTACTTTCCTTACTGGTTTTCATTGTCTATCAAAGGCGTTTTTTATGTTTTGGACAAACATGGCGTGGATTTTTTTAAAAATATTTTTTCAGGGTCCCAAATAAGGCATGGATTTTTTCAAAAAAATATTTTTTCAGGGTACCAAACAAGGCGTGGATTTTTTATTCTATGTATTGAAGACCTTTGAAAGATCTCCTTTCTATAGAATACTTCTAAAATGTCATGTGTTTGTTAAGAAACTCCGGAAGGTCCTCTGTTCGTAGAAGGACTTGTGAAAGAAAATAAATACTTCGGACAATCAATCTAACAGGATATTATGCCAATGTGAAAATTACTGTCTACTATTGTCTTCCATTTATGAATACTTCTGAGAATATTTGTGCCTATAGAAGATCTCTGCAAGTCTTTCACTTTATTGACAGCTTCGGACAAAACATTTGTCTATAATAATTGCGGTTAGCTTTAACAACATATTTCTGAACCAATGACTATTGATTTTATTCATCAATATTGATTATATTATCGAAGCTGCATAGGAAATCTGACTTCACAATCAATATGCTTATTTTATTTTAAACCATTTGTTTACCTAATTAATGAGCCATACTTAGTTACGGAGCTATGGTGTCATTTCGATAATAAACTTTTAGGTTATGTTTCTCGGCCAAAAAAGCTCAACCAATGTGGTACGTTCTTATGTAAATAAAAAAAAACCAGACAATAAATATAAACAGCAGGCAGGCTGGTTGGTTGTTCGGCTGGCACATTGACAGACCCATCCAAGTCAACTATGTAATTTGTGTCTAGCCACATCGTGTCTTCTAATCAACCATAAAAATGACATTTAAGTGGCAATTTTATGGTGGAGAACTCCGCACAATAAATGAATTTTCCACAAATAAAACTGCTGCATTTGGATATTTCTTCTGCAGTTTCTTCTTTGGTGGCAAAGAATTATTCGTCCAGAGTGATGTGTTGTGTTGGATTTTTATTATATAGCATTTAAAATTAAATATAAAACTAAAGCGAATCTAAACTTTATGGAAATGTCGCACACACACACAAAATACAAACTGTGAAGTTGTCCCCATTCCTGGCTTGTGGGGTTGGTTGGCTGGCTGGTTGGTATTACAATTTTGTGTTTTATTTTTTTGGGCAGAAGTTAAACAGAGCCAAGCAGCAAGCAACTATAAATGGCTTCAATGGAATCGAATGAAGCTGAAATTGAAGTAAAACTACAATAGCAACAAAAACGGCAACTTAAACTTTAGACGCTATTCTGTGATCTCAGCACGCGTCAAATGTAAAATAAACCAAGCCATGCCATGCCACCACCAGCACCGATCACTTAGAGCCACCCATTCGTTCGTTCGTATACTGCGGAGGTTTAGGAGGTTTAGGAGGTTTCATTGCCTTGTGTTTTTGTTGTTATTGTTGCTATTGTTTGTCATCAACGTTTTTAGTTCGGGGTCTCAATAACATTTTGTTTGTTGATCTCATTGTTGCTTGCGAGGGAGCTAGGGTGGTATCACAATTTTTAACCCAACACCACGACCAGCATACAATTGCAATATATTGGCAATCATATGGGTGGTGGTGATGGTGGTGGGATGTGTGCAAATGGGGGGCTACCAGCGAAAAAACAAACTCGAGCAAATAGAAAGGCGTAAAGGAAACATTAAACAATAAATGACAATGCAAAAAACCGTAGCTGACAACTTCCCTCGGTCCTCCAATTGTTCGCATTCATTTTACAAAAAGTTTAACAAATAAAAAAAAAAAAAAAAAAAAAAAAAAAAAAAACATGAATTTTTGGTTTGTTTTGAAAATATGCTTATCGTTGCATTTGAGACAAGTTTAAAGACCTCTTTGTTTCTGCAATTAAAGGCAATGACTTGACTCTTTTCGAATCTAATACGTAATATTACATAGGAGAGTTTCTAAAGGTCATTTATTAAGACGAAGAAAACTTAAATAGATATTTTCACGGTTTGTAATGGTTCTAAAATATATATATATATATATATATATATTTCTATACCCTTCACCACAATGTGGTGGTGAAGGGTCTTTGTGCATATGTTTGTAAGAGGTAAAAGGGAACGAGATAGAAAATCGGTTCAGATTTAGATATAGCTCCCATATATATATTTTCGTCCAATTTAAGGTAAATGGTGCACCAAAGTCCCTATATATCGTTCGATTTGCACGACATTTGGCACAACATACTGAATTAAGCCTAGAATGATGTTTGCCAAGTTTCGTGAAAATCGGCTCAGATTTAGATCTAGCTCCCATATATATATTTTCGTCCGATTTAAGGTAAATGGTGCACCAATGTCCCAATATATCCTCCGATTTGTACGGAATTTTGCACGGCGTGCTGAATTGAGCCTAGTATGATGTGTGCTAAGATTCCTGGCAATCGGTTCAGATTTATATTTATACTCCCATATATATTTTCGTCCGATTTTATCTAAATGGAGCACCAAATCCCTATATAACTTTCGATTTGTACGAAATTCGGCATATGTTACTGAATTAAGCCTAGACTGATGTTTGCCAAGTTTCGTGAAAATCGGCTCAGATTTAGATATAGCTCCCATATATATATTTTCGTCCGATTTAAGGTAAATGGTGCATCAATGTCCCAATATATCCTCCGATTTGCACGGAATTTTGCACGGCGTGCTGAATTAAGCCTAGTATGATGTGTGCTAAGATTCCTGGCAATTGGTTCAGATTTATATTTATACTCCCATATATATATTTTTGGTCCGATTTTATCTCAATGGAGCACCAAATCCCTATATAATTTTCGATTTGCATGAAATTTGGCATAGCGTACTGAATTAAATCTAAAACGGTGAGTGTTAAGATTCGTGACAAGTCAGAATTTCACGAATCTTGTATAGCTCCCATTTATAATTTCATCCGATTTTATGTGAAGGGTGCACCCAATATATCCTATCCTGCAAGAAATTTGGCATACCGTACTGAATTGAGTCTAGAATGATGTGTGCTACGTTTCGGGAAAATCGATTCAGATTTCGATTGAGACTTGAATGAAATGATTGCGTTTTGTTGAAATTGGTGCAGGTGTAGCCATAGCTACCATAAGGATTGATATTAAATTTTTAACAGTGCGACGTACTGAATAGCGTGTATTAATTTTGCTATAAATTGTTTTCCATAAATTAGTCCCATGGTACGCAGACGATTCTAAATCTGCCCGAATGTAACTACATTTAGCATGGGTTGTACTCCATCGAAGGAACATTGACAATATTGGTATTGTAAGGATACATATGGACAATATACGCAAAGTGGTGAAGGGTATCATATAGTCGGCCCAGTCCGACTTTACTACTTTCCTTACTGGATTCAAATTCACGACTTGTTCAGGTTCCTAAAAAATTATAATTTAATACTTGAAAACAAAAAACTTTAAAATGACTTGTTTAAGTTCCTGAAAAATTATCATTTGATCCTTATTTTAATTTTAAATACAGGCCTTTTGTGACACTTTTGTTTCTGCCCTGTTAAATCCACGCCTTGTGTGAGACCTTACATTTTTTTTTTAACCAGGACTTCTGTCCTGTTAAATCCACGGCTTGTGTGAGACCTTACATTTTTTTTTAACCAGGACTTCTGTCCTGTTAAATCCACGGCTTGTGTGAGACCTTACATTTTTTTTTAACCAGGACTTCTGTCCTGTTAAATCCACGCCTTGTGTGAGACCTTACATTTTTTTTTAACCAGGACTTCCTGCTAAATCCACGCCTTGTGTGAGACCTTACATTTTTTTAAACCAGGACTTTTGTACCTTTAAATCCACGCCTTGTGATGGCCTCTTAAAAATATTTTTTTAAATGCATGCTTTGTGATGGCCTCTTAAAAATATTTTTTTAAATGCATGCTTTGTGATGGCCTCTTAAAAATATTTTTTAAATGCACGCCTTGTGATGGCCTCTTAAAAATATTCTTTAAAAAATCCACCCCTTGTGGTGAACCTTGAAAATATTCTTCTTTAAAAAATCCACGCCTTGTGGTGAACCTTGAAAATATTCTTCTTTAAAAAATCCACGCCTTGTGGTGAACCTTGAAAATATTCTTCTTTAAAAAATCCACGCCTTGTAATGGCCTCTAAAAAATATTCTTTAAAAAATCCACGCCTTGTAAGGGCCTCTAAAAATATTCTTTAAAAAATACTCGTCTTGTAATGTAAAAAACGTCCACGTCTTTCGATGATCCTTAAATAAATACTCTTTGGAATATTCAGTCCTTTAATTAGGCCTTCGAAAATATATTTATTTTTTTATTTACTCCAATTATTTTTTTTTTCATATTCATAAATTCCAAAATATTCCATTCACCTCACTTAACTATAATATCCAAAAGCATTTGAATACAAACTTCACTGCGTAAATTGTCGTGGCCATCGTAGGCCTCAAATTGGAAAACGGCTTTATGAAGGCCCGATATCCTTTCGCCCTCAATGTCAACGGCAAGTTCCAAATTAAATGGAACGTGATGATATGTAACCTAAAAACATACAGATATTTCAAAATTTCACATTTCCCCAAAACGAAAAAGATGGAAAACAGGAACCGAACCTCCTCCTTTTTCCAACTTACCCCCTTGTGGTTGATACATTTACGATCGTCCTCATCGACAAATTGTCCCCAGGCTTTATACCAAAATCCATCCTCGTCAAATAGCGTCGAACAGAAATCCTTTTGGACCATTGAAAAAACCGTTGGCTGCCAACCACCTCTTGCCGATTTCAGCAAATCCGCTCGAAAATCTATACGATCCGTTGGCTCAACATCCCAAATCATTTGAACGTAACCCTCTAAACTAGCACTATCCTCCAAAATTTCCACATTCAAATTGGACATATCCATGACACTGTCCAGCCCCAAAACATCTGATTTATCATCACAATCGGAGAAAATATCCGCATCTTCGGGTAGGAAAAGGTGTATAGTTCCATTGCAGTGCGAGCAGATATTAGAAATTATTATGAGGAAAATAATTGATTTCCGCCAAAAAGTTTTAAATTTTCCGACCATTTTATTAATTTTGTTTAGTATTGAGACAATTTCTGTAAATGACTGATTTTTTAGTTTTTCAGATTTCGGGTTTTTATTGGATTTTTCTCTGACATTTAGTAATTGGATTCTAGTTATGGGACATGTAATATTCGTGTTTGTTGTTTAGATCAAATCATGGGTATTTTTTTAATACTTTCCCCTTTACTGTTCTCACTCTAATTAATTGATCTTCAAATGTAGTTGTTAATTACAAAATTTTTATGTTCTTGTTGTTTGTCATTGTTATCGAATTTGTTTATTTATTTATTTTGTTTGTTTTTAAACTTTTTTATTTCATATTTAAAAAAAATAGTCTACAAAAGGGAATTCTTCTTGTAAAATAAACATTTCAAAATTTTTCCTAAAATCTTAAACCCCCAAAGCTTGGACTGATACTAATAACGTATGGTAGAGTATAAAATCCAAATCCAAAATAAATAACGTAATGTACGAAATTTCAGCGAATTCAGTTATAAAACGCGCCCAAGAATCCTAAAATACCGAAAATTATATGGGGGCTATTTGAAAAAATTGGCCTATATTTATAATTTTTAGTAGGGAGATTTTCTACCCAATAAGTACTCAAAATGCCCAATTTAAGGGAATTCGGTCGAAAAATGCGATCATAACCCACAAAATACCGCAACATTGGGGATACCCTTATATAGGTGCTATCCGAAAAAATGGACCTGTATTTATAATTTTTAGTGAAGAGATTTGCTACCCAAAAAGAACTCAAAGTACCAAATTTCAGCGAATTCAGTTGAAAAACGCGCTCAAGAACTTCAAAATACCAAAAATTGGGGGGTACCCTTATATGGGGCTATCCGAAAAAATTTACCTATTTTTATAATTTTAGTAGAGAGATTTGCTACCCAATAAGAACTAAAAGTACCCAATTTCAGGTAATTCGGTCGAAAAATGCGATCATAACCCTCAAAATACCGCAAAATTGGGTGTACCCTTGTATGGGGGCTATCCGAAAAAATGGACCTGTATTTATAATGTTTTGTGAAGAGATTTGCTACCTCAAAAAGAACTCAGAGTACCAAATTTCAGCGAATTCCGTTGAAAAACGAGCTCAAGAACCTAAAAATACCCCAAAATTTGGGGGTACCCTTATATGGGAGCGATCTTCGAACTTGACCTGCCTGCTGCAGACAAAAGACGACTCTATGCAAAATTTATAAATCGTCATAGAATTTTACGCTGATCAATAATATATGTACCTTATAGGGTCGGAAATGATTATTTCGATGCGTTACAAAAAGGAAAAACAAAACTAATATACCCTCCCTCCATACTAAGGTGGAGGGAATTTTGTCTACGCAAAAAATTTTGTTTGGAATTTAGCATAGACTTTTTTTTTGTTTTTGAAATACACGATTCCCATTTTTATCGATAAACCTGTGAATTTATTGGACATCTTTTGAAATTTGAAAATTTATTTTTTATTAATTTCTCTTTCGAGAGGAGCTACATAATCGAAGTTGCAATGAAAAGGAAAGCCGGATAGATACTACATTCCCACCACATATACTACATTTCGCCGTTGGCAATGTGGCTTACAAATGTCTTTACTTGAAAAGTTGTATTTATGTCGACTATTGTTGCGAAATTGTATCTACGAATTAAATTCAACCGTGTCAAGGTTCGGACATTTGGCATCAGACCAGAACATTCCTTTTCAGAGCAGATTTTTCTTGTAGTGACTGACTTTTTTTCAATACAGACTACAATATTTTTCTTCAATGGTATGCAACTGCATATTGTGTAACCATAGGAAGATAAGGAGGTGGCTTTGAACGCTAAGGCGCCGGACATCAACAGATGCCATGGGAACCAAGGTTCAAATCCCAGCCGTGCTCAATTTGTTGTTGTTTTATCGAAAACTAAAAATTATCCATTTCAAATATACTGTATTCCCATGGTCAGATATATTTTTTATCGAAATTTTTATTATCGATATAAATTTTTCGGTATTAGTAAAAAATAATATTAAATAATAATATTAATTTGCCTTCTACAAAGGGGTTTTTCGACAACACTGAATCAAATAATCGATTTTTTGATATCAATAATTACCGATAACAGTAAAGAATTTAAATTTCTTCTTATCGAATTGTTCAATATTTATCGATAACAATAATTCATTTAATAGATTTTTTAATTCGTTCTGTAAAATAATCTTTGATAAGGACATTTATGGATACATTTTTATTTCAATATGAATTTCGATATTTTTCCAATATCTTTGATAGTTAAAATAACATTGATTTTTCCCATTTTAATTTTTTATTTTATTTCCTATATTTTCAGGTATGTCGTCTTCTAGTCTGAAAAAGACAACAAATTCCATTGGGGATTGAACGATAATAATCGATAAGTATTGGAAAATAAGCTCGTGTGTTTTCCGGAACCCTCACATAAAAACTTCCTATCATTATTTCCCTTTAATTTCGTATTCATCTGGAAAATTATCGAAAAAACTTTGTTTTTCCCCCTATAGCAATGACCTCTTCCACCTAACCTCAAATTTTTTTTACCAAAAACCCTCACATAAAACTCGCATAATCTATAATTATCATTAACTGCGAACATTACTTGGCAAACCGTTATTTTCTTCGTTCTATGTTAATTACCCTGATAAATAAATAATTTGAAAATTGGGAGGATCCCTTTTAACATTAAAATACCACAAAACTCTTCAGATAACACAACAATGCAAATTAACATACCCGAATATCGTAATTATAATAAAATTTTATTAAATATGGAAACAACATGCAGAGGTAGTAGAGCACACACATATACATCGACGTGATAATTTAATTTTGTAACCAAAATTTGATATACATTCACGTACACCCACACACACGTGTACAACAAGAAAATTTGGTAATTTTTATTAACGGGTTTCAACACACCAACATTGATAGGCATAGAACAGAAAACAAGGAATTGTACGGTCATCAATTTTAAGGTTCCTTGCATAACTTTTATGGCATAGCTAGAAAACTTTTTAAAAACAAGTCGTTAAGTTCCGTTGCCGAACTTTTTATACACTTCACAATAAGGTGGATATTTAAAATGTTGAAATCGGATCTTCCTACAGGCACTCAGGTTGGACTAGGATATACCAAAAAATTTATACTTTTTGTAGGATGATTTGACACTCAAAGACAATCTAGAAATATAAAATTACAGCCAACTCGGTCTAAAAACCTGCACAAAATCCCAAATCCCAATACCTTTATATGTGGGCTAATTTTCGCCAAATTTTGGTAAGGAGATTTGCAATCCTATGAGAACCCAAACTACCAAATTTTTGCTCAAATGTTCCCGAAATACCAACAAATGCCGACAAATGACTGTTACTGTTATAAGGGAGCCTATATCAAAACGTGGACCCATATATTCCATTTGCAATGCCCAAACATCCTCTTTATCTTAAATATTGCGATCTGTATCGTTATTTCAAAACACGGACATGGCTAAATCTACACCGAGGTGTTGCAAACTGCATGACAAACGAAAAGTGGAACTTCTATAGAACACCTTCTGTACCTATTTCATACCTTCTGTTTTTAGAAGGATTCTACAGATCTGCTAGGTACGGTCGGTATATAAAGAGCTTCCAAAAGTTATTTATACGAATAGGCCTTTCTCCATGTCTCATATATATTCTACACGTATATAATTGCTAAATAATCCATTTTACAGGCCCTCTATAGCTAGATGACCCTCTAGCTGAAGGTCTTCTTCAGATCTTTTGTAAATAGAGAGAGACTTTGAGCAGGGCCTTCAATAGCCAGAAATCCTTACACAGGCCTTAATTGCAGGGACTCTTTTACAAGAGACCCTCTTCAGATCTTCTTAGCGGGAAGATTTCCTTTAGGTCTTTGGTAGCTTTCATAGATAAGTTATCAAAAAGCTAAATAATTAAGAGAAAAACAAATTGGAACTTCTTTGGATCAACTTCTGTACTTTTTCAGACCTCCTGAGACTAGAAGATCTTCTACTGAACTTCTATGGACGGAAACCCTTTTTCTATAAATAGAAGATTTTTTACAGATATTCTATATGAAAAAGGTCTTTTATACCTTGAATAACTTCAACACAGAATTACTAAAATACCTTTAACAGAAAACCTGATACATGTCTTCAATTGTCACGTGTTCTATAAATATAAGACCTCTAATGATATTCGATGGCTAGAGAAGACCCTTTAAAGAACTTCGATGGCTGGGCGGCCTTGCAAAGGTCGTCAATTGCTAGTAGACCTTGTATAGTTCTTCTATAACTCGAAGACCCTCAACAGATCTTCGACAACTGCAAGAAGTTATACTGGTTATACTTGACTTTTTACATGACTTCTGTGTTTAGAATACCGCAGGTCTTCTTTGGCTAGAAGATCTTCAAGCTTTCTTCTTTGCTAGAAGATCTTCAACCTCTCTTACATGGCTAGAAAACTTTCTGCAAATCTTCTATGGATAGAACACCTTCTGCAGATCTTCTAAGGATAGAAGACCTCTTACAGGACTTCAACAATTAAAAGGTACTCTACAGAAAAAAAAAACCTTTTATGGACAGAAGCCCTTCTACAGGTCATTATTGGCTTGAATATCTCATACAGGTTTTCATTAGCTGTAGATGGTCTTCTGAAGT